GGGGGAAATTAACAACAATGTTCCCAGAAAAGGGGGGGAAATTAACATTTGCTTCTTTGTATTGATGAAATCCACATCAGACTAAAGGGGGAGGTTTCTAACTCCCTTTATCTAAGCTGCATGCCTGGAAGCTGCATCCTGCTTTGAATGTTGACTTGCTGTCTTCCTTTTCAATAAATAATTCCTTTTGAAATACCCAGTTTTCAAAAGTTAATTCTTATCATCTGAGGGGGAGAGTCTAGTCCTTGTTTCTAATTCTGAAAACAGAATTATTTCTAATTCTGAAAATTTTCATTTGTGTCTTTGATGCTTCTTATGCAATGGTTGATATTAAATCACTCATTTTTTTGAAACTTGATCAAGCAATAGATCATGTCAATAGATCTATTCAGTTCAATGTCAGTTTATGTGGCCATCTGAAAGTTGGCCTGGGTGATTCAGTATCTTTTCAAAATAGTAATTGTTGTGAAGGATCTAAGTCAGAATCTGGATGCAGTAGTTAACTGATTGGAGGTTAAATACTGTGCCTGAAACCTGTCAAGACAATAAAGCTGTTAATGTTTATCTCTTTTGTCTTGGATTTAAGAACTTATCTGCTTTAGAAAGGATGTGTAATCTAGGAAATTTTAAATCTTATCAATCTAAGGGAAAAGGACTGCATTTTAATCTCCACTTAATTTACCAGCACCAGCAGTTTTTGAATAGGGACAATGTGACTACAATCTACTAGTAGCTTCAAGACTAATTATTGTGATGTGCTGTTTGGGGAGAGGGAGCAACTTTATGGTTGGTATCTGTTATTAAAACACTAAATTAACTCAAGTAATTCTAAATACTTGAGATAGCACAAATCCTGTATGGCTTAAGACTTGAAAAGCCAATTAAATACAGTATATTCTCCCATATAGCAATAGCACTTATATACCATTTCACAATGCTTTACATCCCTTTCTAAGTGGTTTACAACAACACATATTGTCACCAACAATCTGGGTCCTCATTTTACAAACCTCAGAAGGATGAAAAGTTGAGTCAACCTTGAGCCAGTGAGATTCGAACTGCCAAATTGCAGTCAGCCGGCAGTCAGCAGAAGTATATATAGACCTGCTAGGTAGTATTTTCTGACAGCTGGATCTGGTTTAATTACATTAACTTTTCCCATAAAAAATAAGATTTTTGATAAATGTTCGCTGAGGATTAAAAGACCTCCCAATATATATTTGATGAAAGCTTTAATCTCACCTGATTAAACCATCTGTGCCACTTTATGGCATCCTCATTGATGGTGAAAGTTTGTTCTGAAACAGTCCCAGGATTCAACCACCCAACTTTCACTCTGTAAAAGGATTCATTTGAAGAAATGACCCAGTTGATCACATCAAATCCCACTACTAACTCCCCATTGTGGTCAAAAGAAATATTGTCACCAGCACTGTTGTTAAAAGATACAATTTTCAGATAATAATGGAGCTATATGGAAAAATAAAATGAAAGAATTTATAAATTGGTTGCATTTGGACACAACTATATTAGATCTTACACACTGGGATAAACAAATATTTGCAAAATGGAAACATTACCATATTGAACTGAACAAACCTTATTTTTACATAATGTATAATATTGTACTGTATGATATCCACAGAACTAATTCAGAAATAGTGGATAGTATACTTTGTTTTGAAAGAGTCTGGTGACTGAGCAGTTAAGATGCTGGGCTTATGGACCAGGTTAGCAGTTTGTGACCTAAAGACTGCATGATGGAATGAGCTTCCATTACTTGCCCCAGTTCCTGCTAACTTAGCAATTTGAAAACATGTAAATGCAAGTAGATAAATAAGTGGGAAAATGGGAAAGTAATCATGTTCTATGCACCTTAGTCTTCAAATGTATAAGTAAAGAAAAAGTAACGTCTTCAAATTGGACTTAATTCTTAATGAATTCATGGACATCCATCTAAATTTCATGGCAATAGTACAGAAAGTCTGCATTGCCTTCTCCTTAGATGTCTTTTTCCATTTCCCATTCACAATCTTCAATTTTTATTATTATTATTTTCACCCAAGTTATCACCCAGTTAGCTTTTCAATATCAACCAAGGTAAGTTAGGTGCTGCACTCTGGTTAGGTTCATAAATGCATACTAATAATGAAATCACAAATCTCAACTCAATTTTAGATCGTAACACAATTACAGGGGGGAAAAGAGAAAAGGAGCCTGGACAAAGAATCTTCTTGAGAATGAAGAAATGTTCAACAACACAAGTCCCAGTTTGAGAAGAGGGAAAAATGATCAAAATAACATTTTAATCTGGTTTCCTTTGAATCAACACTCTGGAAAAATGTTTCATCTGAAACTCCTAGACGCCAGATAATCTTGTCATGCTGACTGGGACTTATGAGTGTTACTACTGAATATTTCTGGAAAGGACTATGTTGAGGAAAGCTGTTTTAATTAATTACCTGCCATAATAACAGAATATGAGATTTTAGTCCTCTTCTATCCACCGTTATCCTGTGTTTAAGTCTATATGAGATTACAGCATGTAATGCATAAGCTACAGCATAAATAGCATTGTAGATGCTATAGCTGTGGCCAGTCATTTTCATCTCAAACAAAGTCCCAGGAAGAGTCTTTATCTTTTCTCCAGTGCAAATATTATTCTGTACCTTATCCACAGTTGTATTAGGAAGAAAACACTTGAAGGAATGTTCCCAAACATCCTTTATAAAACCATTTTCTTTTTTGTTGGAAGGATTTATATTCTCAACAAATGGCTCAAAACCCGGTAACTCACTGGAGCGAATTGTGAAGGATAGAGCACCATGGAGTATGTCTGTATTCCAATCTCTCTGATAGGCAAAAGAAACAAGGTCTATCTGTCCAACCATAATCCATACCTTACCTATTGGCATGCTTGTCTTTTCTTCTTCTAGTTCTAGATATGGCAACCATCGCAAATATGCTATGGTGTAAGATTCTCCATATAACACAATTACAGTAGCTTTGTTTCTCATCATATCATAATATGCTTTTATTATTTGGTACACTAAGTCTATTTTGACCTCACGTACCAATGGAAGTCTTTCAATAAAGGCAAAGCATACAGAGTGCTTTGAAAACAATGGAAGCATTGTTTGAATAAATGTTTCTCCATTATAATCATCCATAGCAACAAGTCCAATCCATGACCACCGAAAGTGCAGAACTAATGAGAGAACACCTACATATTGAAGTGCTTCTTTTGGGGCCATCTGGTAGAAGAAAAAGCCTGGAGCTTTGTTAGTTGCCATTGGAAGAATGCCATATGTGAGCTAAAATCAGAAATAAAGAGGGAAGAAAAAGACTACAATATATCAGTATAATAGTATCAAGTGTTCCAAAGACATTTGTAGAAATAAGTTCTCCTGCCATTTTTTCTTTTGTAATGTAATCAAATTTGATGAAAGGTAGTTTGTTTCAAAAATGTATTTTAATGGAGAAGAAAATCTCAGTGGAATTCTCATGAGTGAAATGTAGTATGTATGTGCTACATTTCAAGGAATCTACCTATGGTGTGAGAATGTCTTGGAATCCTGATAGAAACTTACTTTCAATTGTTTACCTTAAATTATAATGATACATATAATGCAGAAGTTCCTTCCATTTAAGGAGGAGCAAAATTATTGCAGAGTTCTTTTGGAAAAATGTGGACAATCTGTCTACCCAATTTCTCTACCCCCAATTGGTGGAGCATATTGAAACACTATCCATGTCTAGCTTAAGTTCAAAAGACTAAATATTGCATTATGTCACCTTTTTTTTTTCAAATTCTGTGTATCCTGATTTTATTGTTCTCTGACAGGGCCTGTTTCTAAAGGTCAGTGGATATTTTAAGGATATTTTATTATATCTTAATATTTTCCCATTGTACAAATTCCTTACATTCATAAGCATGAAAAACCAAAACCAATCCTCTAAAACTAGGATTTATATCTCCTGGAGGGGTATATATTTCCTGGATTTCCTAAACAGAAAAACTTATCAAAACCATTTTTATTATAAACTGTGTGTGCTATCCATCCAATTTATCTTACTGCATCTTATAGATTTACTATTACTAGAATTATAAATTAATTATAATTCACATATTTAACTTCAGAAATGCTTACTTCCATCAGTTCCTTTTCATTTAAGCAATTTATGTTGGATGGATACATACATATATACATTTATGTACACTATGTATACATACATAGAGATATATATTTCTGCCTCTAAAGAATAACAGACAAAGGCAGAATGAATAAAACAGAACATTTCCATTTTCTCTTGCATATGTGCTACCTGTGGAATCTTGTAGAGGCTCAAGATGGTAGCCACATCAAAGGAAGTTTGAGAATCCAGTCCCCCAATGACTGCAGTGACCTTATATTGAATATCACATAGATAATTAGGGACAAATCTTCCTAATGTATATATAAGTAGCATTGTAGAATAGTAAGTCCATTTTGCATTTAAATAGCTGTCATAAATATGGAAAGCCAAGGTGATATTTGGTAAAATCTGAGGGTTTTCATTGATCTCCTTTACTGCAAATGCTACAGCCACGATCTGCTGATAATAGTTTGTCAGTATGCTAAAAGAAGAGTTGGATTTAGTATCATAAATATAATTCACACTTCATAAAAATATCATCACTTTTCAACACTTTGTCTTTATCCTTATTCATTTTAATATTTCAGGATCTCATTCCTTGAGAAAACCTTAGACTATACAATGATTAGCAAAAATCAAAATAACCACAAAAATATACCTAGTCATGGAGATCCGGTTTGAGCTTCTTTGGCGACAGACCGAAAGCTGCGACTGTGCACACTTTTGATCTGTGCTCGCTGCTGGAGTGCCCTGAGCTGGCTGGTTTTGGGGCTAAGCCACCCCGTAGAGGTGAGAGACTGCCAGCAGGGTCAAGGAGAGACACATCTCTCCTCCCCAGCTGGCCATTACTCCCTTTCCCAAAGGTGGTTGCAGTGGTGGTCAGAAATGGCCACCTCAAAGAAGAACTCGACTGGAAAAGAATATGCAGGAGGAAGATAAGAAAATAAAGCTTTTGGCTGATCAGGTCGAACTGGAAAAACAACAATACAAGGTACCATGGAATTTGAATTATAAAGAACAACATTGTTCCCAAAGAAGACTTTGAAGCTGCGAATGAGAGAGGGAAGGGAAAGGATTTGGGTTTTTTTCTTTTCTTCCCTATATGGACAACTAAGAGATGTAAGCAAGAAATCGGCAAAAATCCACTTTGACATTAACAGGTATTTAAGCTGAAAATAAAATGTCAAAGGGATAATAAAGATTTCTGGATTCTCAAAAACTTTTAAAAGAAGGAAAAAAAACAAAAGGGTGGGATCTGGAAAAAGGGAAGAGACCACCTGGAAGTGAAAGGAATTAACAATGAAACTTTAACAAGATTCCTAAAAAAGATACATTTTAACTGAAACTTTGTAACAAGATAAGAGAACCCCAGGAAGAGAAAGTGGAAAAAAGAAGCAAGAAGAAA